GTGGGTAAAAATTCTTTAGATTATTAAAATGTTCTTCACACTAAGGAAAAAAATGGTTAAGAACTGGTACTGAAAGGTGCTTTAAGGGAACCAAAGATGGTTTTCTATTGCATTGCTGCAAAAACACTATTTAGTTCGTTTATTTTTAAGCATGTTGTTGAGTGTTCAGAACAACTTAAGTCGTTTAGTATACGATGCCCAGTTTTTCTTTAAAACAATTTTCAAATTGGCAAGTATATGATGCCTAGTGTTTTAAAATCTCTTCAGATTTTAAGTAGTGTATTCCTGTCTTAATTGATGGGATGAAGCATGCTCTTCCATGTCAATCTGAGTTTTTGCTTAGTATTCATGCTGCAGAAATAACATGCCATACCGTGTGCATGCAATACCCGAGATGACATGCTATATTTTCTTAAATATATCATATAAAACAGAAGACGCTATGCTGGAAACTCAGTTCACTGCTCCACGTGACCTTATATTAAACCAAATCAATTCTGATTAGCTTTGATTGACTGGAATTGTGCACCTTTTTCATTTTTAGTGCAGACAATTTTTTTTGTTGCTGGAAATTATGCCTGGTTTACATGAAATGCCAAATTCAACCTTTTTGTTTAAAGGTAAGCAAAACTTGGCATCTTTAATTAATACACCATTACTAGAATGCGAATCTATTTAAAGAAGTATAAACAGTATTTCATTTACAGAGGAAGATCACAACTCTTACCGTCTTCACACTAAGGAAAAAAATGGTTAAGAACTGGTACTGAAAGGTGCTTTAAGGGAACCAAAGATGGTTTTCTATTGCATTGCTGCAAAAACACTATTTAGTTCGTTTATTTTTAAGCATGTTGTTGAGTGTTCAGAACAACTTAAGTCATTTAGTATACGATGCCCAGTTTTTCTTTAAAACAATTTTCAAATGGGCAAGTATATGATGCCTAGTGTTTTAAAATCTCTTCAGATTTTAAGTAGTGTATTCCCGTCTTAATTGATGGGATGAAGCATGCTCTTCCATGTCAATCTGAGTTTTTGCTTAGTATTCATGCTGCAGAAATAACATGCCATACCGTGTGCATGCAATACCCGAGATGACATGCTATATTTTCTTAAATATATCATATAAAACAGAAGACGCTATGCTGGAAACTCAGTTCACTGCTCCACGTGAACTTATATTAAACCAAATCAATTCTGATTAGCTTTGATTGACTGGAATTGTGCACCTTTTTCATTTTTAGTGCAGACAATTTTTTTTGTTGCTGGAAATTATGCCTGGTTTACATGAAATGCCAAATTCAACCTTTTTGTTTAAAGGTAAGCAAAACTTGGCATCTTTAATTAATACACCATTACTAGAATGCGAATCTATTTAAAGAAGTATAAACAGTATTTCATTTACAGAGGAAGATCACAACTCTTACCGTCTCCGCTCCAATATCCAGTCACAAATGCTCTTTAGAGGCCTTCTGTCACAATGTGACAACTTAAATTGGTTGACTTCGCACCAATAAACAAAGAAATTCTTCAAAAGAACTGACTTTGAGAAATGTTTCAGATTGCCCAACATGCGAGGGAACTGGGTTCAAAATGAACTAGTCAACAGTGAGGTTTACTGGTTAATCTAGATGCTTGTTTTGATATTTCTCAGCAATTCCAGTGCTTTAGCTGACAGTTTTTACAGTAAAACCTCCTCAGAAAAGTCACTCAATCACAACCAGTTCAAGTCTTGGAGTCTCTACTAATGAGCTCATGATATTAATCAGGTGTGTAGTATAGTGCTGAAGAATCGCAGGACCAGGATTGAGATTCTGAGCCTTCGAAAACCTGCTCGGAATAAGGACTCGGTCATATAATCCGTAATAAAATGGTATTTGTTTATTGCATTTTGTGCTGACAAATCTATAAAATGGAATGGGAGTTTTGCAGAAGCCATAGAGATAAAGCATTTGAAATGTAAGATAAAACTACATTATTTTCTTTATGTACCATGAAACACAATAGATTATACTCATTATTAATCTTTTTAAAATATTCAACTTACACTGACACAAAAAATAAACACCTCAACACTAACTAGTTCTGCTATATTTACAGGACCCACATCTGCTGCGTGTACGTCACTGTACACACACTCTCACACATACAGCTGAAAAACACACAGGAACACACTAATATGACCATAAAATCCCGCAACAGCCAAAAAGAAAAAGAAAATTGCTATTTCTCCACTACATTCCCTTTCAAATGTTCATACAAAATGTTTTCATTTCAAATGAATCAAAAACAAGCCCGAGGGATTCAGCCATTTTCCATGCTAAACTAATGTTCTGATCTAGAATTAATTGCGCTATCGTCTGCAAACCGTGAAATCAGTGAATTGCCCAAAGCGAGTGATTCAATAACTCACATTGTGAGCCTTTCAGAGAAGCAAGGCCGAGACAAAGTAGGATTTTGTTTGTGCATTTTTCTTATAGTTGTCTCGGATTGTTTACTTCAGCAATATCTAACTTGCAGTTGTGCTGTAAAAAAGCAATAAGCCATGAAATCTGCTTTTCCAATCGAATTAGTAGGGAAAGGATGTTTTTAAAAATGCATTTTCAGACAGTCAAATTACATGTGAGCTACAGCGACACAAGTTAAAACATTTTTGAGCTGTATATTTTAGTGAATATCCACTGAAATATTTTTTGTCCTTTTAGCTTAATTTGAGTGCTTGAAATCGGCCATAGAATTAAAAACTAGATTTTTTAATGAGATACACTCTAAAAAATGCTGGGTTAAATACAACCCAGTTCTGGGTAAAATAGGGGCAAACCCAGCAATTGGGATGTTTTGACCCAGCGGTTGGGTTCAATGTTTAACACAACCTTCTGGGTAGTAACCCAACCGCTGGGTCAAAACATCCCAATTGCTGGGTTTGCCCCTATTTTACCCAGAACTGGGTTGTATTTAACCCAGCATTTTTTAGAGTGTAACATTAATAAAGATTAAATAAATAAATTGCATAACATAAGCATTGCACTTTTTTTGGTTAACATATAGCTGCCAATTTGTGTATTTAAGGCATGAGTACAAACCTGTGTAAATGATGATTTTACTGCTAAACAAAACAAACCCTCAAGTTTCTTTTTAATTCATTCAGAATGACAGTTTGCAGTAGACTAAACACATACCCAGGTTAACATAAATAACTTTGGTAATCAGTTCCTCTTTAAATAAATTAATACACTGATAACTGTAGTAAAAGCAAAATGGGTTTTGTCTTGGCTAAACTAACTACCTATAGTAAAAATAGACTCCTTTAACCAATCAATATTCATTCACACTAAGATACTAGTTGATCCAAAGAAACCGTTGTGTACAACAAGAACACATTTACAATTAAAAGTACTGAAATAAACTGGTGAGGACATAATACTGTATGTACAGTATATATATATCAGCTTGTTCAGGATAATGTGCATGCGTTGAACAGGACAACGGACCCAGGTCCTGGCTCTATTTCAACTGGTTCAGATGGATTTGATTCAGATTTCAACATTTGGACTTTCACAGAGCTTCACATGTTCATCATTCACATGCATGAAGAGCTGTACAGTTTTCACCAAAGTTACTGGAATGTCAAGCAAAACAAATACAAGCCTTCAGGTGACTTCAGAGGTAAACGTCATGGAAATAAACTCTCAAAAATAAAGGTCTGACAGTAATGCCTTTTTAAACTATTTTCTGGTGCTTTAAAGAACCTAGAAACCAAACCGATTTGATCTGAAGAATCTGCAGGAAACATCAAGAACTTTTTCATAGAGTGTAGGATTAATAAAATTAAGTAAGATTTCCATTTTTTTTTGAAGAAGAAGAAGAACATCCAATGGCGTGGGTCAAAATTCAGAACCGAGTTCAGACTGTTATTCAGAGCCCTTTTCTTCCCAAGATGTGTTGAACGCCACATGATTTCTTTTTTGCTACACACATGCCAGGTATTCATCGTGAGATGTTGAAGAAAGGAAAAAAGACTGTGAACGTGATGAGTCCACTGTCAGTTTGAATAGAGCCAAGCCCAGCAGTGGAAGCGCTTGTTTATAGTCTTTTTATACGGTGATCACATCAAAACAGTGCTTGTAGGTTTGGAAATGACGTAGGGATTGAAAAGTTGGAGGAATGGAAATGTCAAGGAGGTGTTACCACATCAACTCAGTGATTCGTATTAGAAATATATCTTCTTTTTTTAACATCTATGTATACTCTTTTCATCATTAATGACAAGAAATGCTAGAAATTCATGCCAAATAAACAGCAAACACTTTTTTTTTTGTTTTATAGCATAATAAAATCAATCTTCAGGTAGTATGCTACCGCAGCGAACAAAACTCTGTCCGGTCTGCGATAACGAGGCCCTACGGCCGATGCAGTACACACTCTCGCCGCTAGAGGCATCAGCGTTGAAATGGATCTGGCATGCTCATGATTCTGGCAACTCAATCGTCACTGTCACCATGGACGTAAATAACATTAACGCGTATAAAGTGCATTTCTATCTCAGCCACCATAGAACAGATGTGACACACACTCTAGCATACGAAGCGTGCCGATGAACTCCACGAGAAGCAGAATTGTGGGCGAACTAACAACTTAAAATATGCCATACGTACCATTTCCCGTGGAAATCAATATTGCACGTTACCGCTGAAAACAAAAAAGTTCGTTTTTTTCAGTGTGTACTCAAAGCATCCTAACAAACACAACAGGGAACGACAACCCTGTAGCTACAGTGTCTTCAGAGCGATATTATGTACAAAGCCAAAAACAACGCACAGTATCCCGCTAATCTAAGTGTACACGTAAGAATGCTAAGTTAAACATTTTGCCATTGAGTCGCGACAACAATCTGAAAAAGCTGCCTTGACATTATTCCAGAAACTGCTCTTTTCACATTTACGAAAATCACATTTTTCCAACACACACCATGCAAATGAAGCGTATCGTAAGTGTTCTTCACAATTCACATTATAGTATTAACTCATTATTAATTCACATTTGACCAATCCGCAGACCGAAGGGATCGAGCTCAAACCATGAAAATCTTTTCCCAAGGTTGTCAGTCTTTACCAGAGCAGAAGTAGTTCACTGGCGTATCCTTGACGTTGCACATTCTTCTCTGGATCCTCTTCCTCAAAACAAATAAATAAAAACTAATCAATCCCAACCCACCCGCTTCTTCGATTGGGTGAGAGCGGTGATTGACAGATGATGTAGGAAAGCTACAGCAGACGGGGCATTGAACAAATACCCACTGACATCAACAGTGCACTTCACTGAACAGTGAAGTGTGGATCACGTCCATCATGAACGAGAGTAACGCCAAGAGCGATGTTTGGCCAGTGAGAGCTTGGCAGACCAGTAGAACGGGATTTTCTGTTGGACGAATTAAGCTGGTTGATGGAAGGGAATTCTGGGATATTGCTTGGGCCACACTGGGGAAGGAGGGCAAATGGGATGGGATGAAGTCGACTAGTTTCTTAAGAGTAGATGGTGATGACCTCGCGACCTCCACCACGCACGAGGAGGACCCGGTTGAGACCTTCGGTTAAAACCTCCATGAATTCCATGTCTGATTGATAGAGTCAAGGAACTGAGAGCTCTTGCAGTATGTACTTTTTCTGTCAGGACCACTATCGTCAAAGATGATTGACAATTAGCATACAGTTTGGATTAACGGTATGGTTCTGTTCTGGGCAAGAACTCCCTGCGCATCCATGCAACCTAGCATGGATGAGAGCAGGGAGAGCAGCGGTAACCCCCCGCAGGGTAAACAGAACAGAACCAACATAAATGTATTGCAGATATCGTTAAAGTTCAATAATGTTATGTATACATTTTAGAATTAGTCTGATTCAACGGAGAATCAGAAGGCTGAATCCCGACTGACAGAGGAGGAGCTGGGGATGGAGAAGGGTAATTAGCTATGGAGCAATGCGAAAACTGCTGATAATACCGAGGGACCTTATATATGAATGCTTAGATAGGTGTCATATTCCCAAAGGTTGATGGGGATCAACTGAGAGTCAGCTGATGCGAGCTTGACTAACGTGACCTGCCAGAACTAACACTACGCTTGATATATGGTGAACAGTATGCAAATGTTTTTAAAAATTTGGTGTTATTAAGATTTTTTAAACAAGTGTGTCATGTTCACCAAGGCTGGATTTATTTGGTCAAAAATGCAGTAAAAACAGTAATATTGTGAAATATTACAATTTCAAAAAGCTGGTTTCTATTTGAATATATTGTAAAATGTAATTTAATACTCTGAGTCAAAGCTGTATTTTCAGCATCATTACTCCAGTCTTCAGTGTCACATGATCTTCAGAAATCATTCTAATATGCTGATTTGCTGCATATAAGAAACATATTATTAGTGTTGAAAACGTTGTGCTGCTTAATATTTTTGTGGAAACTGTGATACTTTTTTATTTTCAGGATTCTTTGATGAACAGAAAGTTCAAAAGCGCAGAATTTATTAGAAATAGAAACTTTTGTAACATTATGAATATATTTAAAATCACATTTGATCAATTTAATGTATCATTTCTGGTTAAAAGCACTAAATTTCTTTCATTAAAAAGAAAAAAAAAACTAAAAAACTTTTGAACAGTAGTGTATTTGCATAGTTTCCCATAATGCAATGCACCCGATGTGACCATTTAAAAACAAATGACATTTTAAAATCTTTCTTGACCCATTATTTTTTTGGACTACACCAAACTGGAATAAAAATGAATAATAACCATACTTTTCTAAAGGGAAACAATGAGACAATGTAGCACAAAAAATGATCAGGATACAGTTCTCGTCGCCGGTTCTGTTTTTGGGCGGTCCGGGCATGTTGAGCAGGACTAGTCTGGCCTCCTGGGATTTCTTTATGATGACTTCATTGAGTCTGAGTGCAGTGTGCATGCGCCTCAAGTTGGACTGGTTTCTGAAAACAAAACCATCAACCATAAGCTCATAAACATTCATCATCATCAGTGAGTGTGAACATGTGCATCACTGACAGAGATACTCACAGATTTTCCCACTCTCTGTGGCATGACAAAAAAGAAATGAAAGACGAGTGTAAAAGTGTGCAATGCAAAACTGAACCTGAATTCAAACCTTTGCAAATATGTGTGATCTTGGACCACAAAACCAGTCATAATGGTAAATTTTTTGAAATTGAGATTTATACATCATTTGAAAATCTGGAATCTGAGGGTGCAAAAAAAATAGAAATATTGAGAAATCACCTTTAAAGTTGTCCAAATTAAGTTCTTAGCAATGCATATTACTAATCAAAAATTAAGTTTTGATATATTTACGGTAGGAAATTTACAAAATATCTTCATGGAACATGATCTTTACTTAATATCATAATGATTTTTGGCATAAAAGAAAAATCTATAATTTTGACCCATACAATGTATTGTTGGCTATTGCTACAAATATTACCCCAGCGACTTAACACTGCTTTTGTGCTGCAGGGTCACATTTTTAAATCATGCTGCACTCACGGTTTCATGTTGAAGAGGTCTTTGATGGCCTCTGGTGTCGTGGCTCCTATAGGTTTGGCCTGCTCTCCATCACACTTCGCTTCGGTCCATGTCATCTGAACAGCCGTGCCGGGGGTCTCGGCCTCTGCGCTGGGGGACTGCGGTGTGGCCGGGGTCGGCGGGTTGGTACTCTGGTCATGAATAAGCTGTTCCTGTTGGGACGGGGACACAGGGACAGACTGAGAGGGCAGGACCGGCACATACGCACATATGGAGAATGTCAGAAGAGAAGGAAAAGAAAACGTTAATGCTCAGATAGAGATTAAAATGAAAAGAAATATTTAAATTATAAATAAAAATAATAAATCATAAATTATGAAATAAAAATAATAAACAATAAAATTTAATAATCACAATAATGATAATAAATGAGATTATGATTACAATCACAATGACAATGCTTAATAATGAATAATATTAAATAAATCATTATTAAATTAAAATTACTAATAAAAATTAAATTAAATTACTTTCATTTTAATTATATTTCATTATATTTATTACGATCACAATTAAGCTGACAATGCTTTATAATGAATAATATTAAATAATAAATCATTATTAAATTAAAATAATGGTTACACTTTAGAACACATATTCACTGTTAATTTTCCCTCAATAAACTGCTAATTTGCTGCTTATTAATAGTTAGTAAGGTAGTTGTTAAGTTTAGGTATGGGGAAGAATTAAGGGATCTAAAATATGATCATGCAGGATAAGCATTCATATGTGCTTTATAAGTACTAATAAACAGCCAGTATGCTAGTAATATGCATGCTAATAAGCAACTAGTTAATAGTGAGAATTGGTCCTTAAAATAATAAAAAGTAATTTATTTATTGACAGATTACTTTCATTTTAATTATATTTCATTGTTTTGACTTTTAGAATTAAATGAAAAGACAAGTTATAAAACTAAATAAAACTGCAATTAATATTTACCATATTACCACATTCAAATGAAATTTATTCTCATTAAAATAAGTAATAAATGTTAAATAAATCATTTGTTTATTTACCATCACAAGTTATTTTATTATAATTTTTCATATAAATAAAAAGAAACAAACAACGAATTAAGATAAAAACTAAATAATTAAAATAACATTTATTATAACTAAAAATATTTAAAATAAATGACTTTTGAGAGATGAGAGAGAGAGAGAGAGCTGGATTCTGCCGTGTCCACTGAAACACTGATATCAGACAGAACGGTCAAGCTGAGATCACAGCATCAACACAAGCGATGTGGCTGTTATTGCCATGTAAGTACCTCCTCTTCTGGTTTCTCCTCTTTGCTGCTGGCCGCTGGTTCCTCAGTTACACTCAGCTGGGTCGTGACGGCGGCTGGGTTCTTACGGCGGATCGACCCGCG